TCGAAGCACGTGCTCTGCTTTCTGGCGGCTGCTCCTGCTCAGCCTCAGACTCCGGAGCCCTGGTGCCTGCGTTTAAATTTAGCTACCGAGCTTTAACTTCGCCGTGTCATAGGACAAAGAATATGGCGCGCTGCACTCGCACCAATATGATTCCCTCCTTCTACTTCATTCGTCGAAAGCCTACGCGCGTCCATGTTTTTTTTTCCCCCGCGTTTTTTTCTCATTCTTTTTTTCTTTTCCTAATTTTCTCTTTTTTCTTCTTTTTTCCTTTTCTTCTTCTTCTTCTTCTTCTTCTTCTTTTTCTTTTTCTTCTTTTTCTTTTTCTTCTTCCTCTTCTTTGACTAAGAGATTTTTGCCAACTTCATCTTTTCGATATTACCTTCTCGTTGAGTTAACGAACGGGTTAAACTCTATCTTACGTTCGATTTTCAGAAAATCGAGAAAAAGGGAGAAAGAGAAAAAGGAAATATAAAAAGTATGAGAAAGTATGTTTTTTTTTTTTTTTTTTTTTCTTTCTTTTCCTTTTTTTTCGATGAATATTTTATTAACTCAATGCAGCGTGCAATAGCTCGTTCGTTCGTTCGTTCGCTCGCTCGTTCGCTCGCTCGCTCGTTTCTTTTTTTCTTTTTTCCTTCTTTCCCTTTTTTTTTCTTTTTTCTCTCTTTGCAGCTCTCCTTCCTTTTTTTATTTTTCTTTTCCTTTTTTTCTTTTTTTTTGAATAGAATTTCTTCCTTTTGTCGGGAACGAGCGTTCTCAATATTTTTTGCGGACAGGAAGTCGATGCGCGAGCGGCGTTGTGCTCGCGAGAAGCAATGACGTAGGTAATGTGTTCATCGATCAAATACACGTGTGCTCTCTCTCTCTCTCTCTCTCTCTCTCTCTCTCTCTCTCTCTCTCTCTCTCTCTCTTTCTCTCTCTCTTTCTCTCTCGTTCACTTTTTCTCGTTCACTTTTGTATGCACATACGTACAATGTATAAGCAGACGGACTCTCTCTCTCTTTCTCTCTCTCTCTCTCTCTTTCTCTCTCTCTCTCTCTCTCTCACTTGCGTATATGTCTTGGCCAAGTGAAACGTACTTTCTGGCTAGACGTTCTTGCTGATGTTCTAGCGATATCCACCTTCTGCCTCCATTCAAGCAAGACGCCACGAAGTTTATAGGAGAAACGTGTAAACTCCCTAAGTAAATTGCACCCAGGATCTTGCAGTTATTTGCTCTTGAGTGCTACCTACCTAAACTATCTATCCTACCTACATACCTATCTACCTAACTTACTAACTACCTACCTACCTACCTACCTACTTAACTTTTCGTACTTTGGCATTTCCGTGATGGTTATATGAAAAATTTTCTATCGCAGCGTTAACGACCTCGATTTTTCTAACGTCATATTTTATACAATCGCGTGCTACCAACGTTTAAACGGTAGAATAATTGAAAATAATTGATAAATATCATGGGATAATGGAGTAATAGTTTGCGTGTAATAGACGATATATCGATGAGTAACACCTTGAAACTTTTATAATCTTGGAGTTTTCGAAGTATTCGATGATACGATGTTGATACGAACGATTAGCTTTGGAAGCTGGTCAAATGCCAAATAACGATTCGCAAACTTTGCGGAGTGTCAGCCGATAGATATAAATTTAATGCTTAGAGCTACTACTTTTGACATTTAAGATGATTCAGCTGGCCCACGTTAGTCATAAGTCCTCGAAACGTTGTGTAGTAACTTTGGTTGTTACCGATATGAAATGAATATCGAGAATGTGCGTGATTCGCTTTAGAGATTTGCGTTTAATCGTCTCCGATAGGAAAAAATTATTTCACGTTGCGTCATAACGTCATGAATTATTTCGAACAAATCTAAATGATATTGAAAAATTCATTGCACTGAAAAAAAAAATATATATATATATACATATATATTTATACATATGTACTTCTCGAACGAAGGCAGAAGATTCTGATTACTTTTCTTTTTTCTTTCTTTCTTTCTTTTTGTTCTTTTTCTTATTCTCTCTCTCTCTCTCTCTCTCTCTCTCTCTCTCTCTCTCTCTCTCTCTCTCTCTCTCTCTCTCTCTCTCTCTCTCTTTCTCTCTCTGTCTCTCTCTGTCACCCCTCTCATCACTTCTCCATTCTTTTTTTTCTCTTTATTTTTTTTTTGTTTTTTATCGAAGAACAGAGAAAATGTAAAATATCGTCGAACGTTCTTTGAAAATAAATATGATAGAAATGGTTTGAGAGAAATAGTATAACATTGTGGAAACTAAAAGAAACGTGCCATTATTCGAGGCACGAGTCAAAGGAAGAAATTTATCTTAATGTGTTAGTAACGATTAGTATAGTGAAATAATATGTAGTAATAGTGGTGATGGTGGTGATGGTGATATGGTGATGGTAGTGGTGGTGGTGGTAGTGGTGGTGGTGGTGGTGGTAATAGTAGTGGTAGTGGTAGTGATATAATTTAAACGGAGGAAGAAGCATCGTAGGCACTCT